ATTCTTTTTAAACAAAATTTGAATTTTTAATATATAAATAAATTTAAAAAGTAAAAGATAGAAGATATATTTAATAATCAAAATAACTGTTTTTTTAAATATGAATATTAAATGAATAATATGTCTTCCTAATTCCTTTGTACTGAATATATTGAAACTAATTCTTCACAACCTTTAGTTTCTTCCTAAAGATAAGGAGCAATTATTCATATTTCGTTTTACTCTTTTGCAGGACGGCGGCACGGAGTCATGTTACAGGACGACCCTGCGTTTCGAGACGATTCAGTCGTCACACACAGGAGAATGGTTGCTACTGGTCCGTTCGTCAGAAGGGATCGCCGACGCTTCAGTTCTATTAAACGTGACACGTGCTTCCGGTTACAGCCATGCCCACATCCGATCGGCGAGTATTACGTACCTTCTACTTTGCCTGATTCTGCAGGCGATCTTGCGGGAATACCGTCGCTGAGGCAACCGTTCGGTGGAGATTTAGGCGGAAGAAACTTTGGCAAAATTCCTAGCTATATGGAAAGCTCATACGTCAGCTTCCCCAATGAGGAAAAGGGAAGCTTCTCTGTATATAATATCGAAATTCTTTCCCCGAAAGAATTTCCCCCGCGCGATTCTCGCGTCAACGAGACGCACAATTTGCCCGACGTGCCGCGACGCGACACTTGCGTCTCTGGCATAGCACGAATACAATGAAACACTGGATGAGAGTTCTGCTGACGCGCCTTCGGCGCGAATTATTATGGCCTTGGTGTTCCTCGGATCTTGTAGCGGATCCTCTTGTTCTACTCTAGGACGCGAATCTGGATAATGCGTTTACGAATATACTATCGCGCGAAAGTACATGGACTATTGCCATCGTTATGTGAAATCTTAGGCAAGCTTGTGTCCGCTCGAACGAGTCTCCGTGCGATTGAGACACGATTAAAATTCGATTTCTCTGGCCTTATATATGAGAATAGCGGAGGAGTGAGAGAGAGAGAGAGAGAGAGAGAGAGAGAGAGAGAGAGGGAGGAGAGGAGAGGAGAGGAAGAAAAGAAAAAGAATGAGATCGCGCGGGCGATGAGATACGTATTTATATAGAGTGAAAATTTGTAAACTATGAATCCGCGTACACGCGCGTGCACCAACAGTCGCACGATACGCCATATGACATGTATATACTTGTATAGATAATAAATAAATAAGCCGGTGTTTATGAATTGTGGAACGTTCCCACGTGTAGGGATCAGAACGAAACGAAGACCAATTTTTTTTTCTCTTTGCTTTTTTGCCACTCGAATTTCTCGCAAATAAAAGATATGAGATATAGCCATCAAATCGCGACCGAATAAACTTTGATAGATGCCGATTTCAAGCCGAACTGTAATCTATTAATATTGCAAAGTGAACTCGCGATGCGTTCAACAAGGCGACTGCCCATATTAAATAACGAAATAATAAGATTTGTGCCGACAGGATCACATGGTGTGATGAAAGAAACTAGAGAGCTAATTGCAAATTTTAACTTTTAACGAGGGACATACGATTTTCTGTACATCCAGAAAAGTGTATGGGATACGCCAACGGACGGGAAAAATTTAATTGTGCAACGTCAAATATTCCCAAAGATAGGGCGACTAAAATAAATTGTTGTATATTATTTAGAGTAAGTAGAGTTTGATAGTATGTATATAGTGACTGTAAATGCGTAGGCTATCGTACGCCCGTACACGACGAATTATACAGTGACGCTGTTAGAGATATATTTATTATTCGTTGATATATTTTTATAAAGTTTTATTTAGCCATAAGTTCTCGTTCGCCTTCCCTCCCTGAATCTTGTTCGCACGATTACAACGCTCATTTCGTTGAGTGAGGCAGAGGAGCAAAGCGATGACGCTTTGTGCTAAGAATTTTTCAACGAGAACTTTACAATAAAATACACTATGTCCTATGAACGTCCTAAATTAAATTTAGCTGTAGCTATTGTGAGAAACACGGACATTGTTTCTGCGATACTTTGATCTATCTGATTGGAAACGGAACATAGCGCGGCATAGCGACTCCGTTCCAATCGATTCCGCTTCTTTCGTTACCTTAAGGTAACTTTTTTTTGTAAATTCGGTGGTTCCTAATTTTTGTAAAAATAGAATTTGTACTCGGCTTATCGACGACTAATGCTAATCCTTGTCGTCGGTACGTCTTATCCGCGCGTGTGACCGCAGTCGGTACTATCTATAGATACGAAATAAACATACCTGATGTCTTCACGTTAATTTAATCGATTTCGACGAACCCGAGTTTTCTTTTCAGATCGCTAAGGTGTTACAAGTAAGCAACGTGGTGTAATCGTTGTACCCAATGATGCCTAAGAGTCCAATAAATGATATTTACAATAATCGTAGTGTGTGCATTTATGACATTTCCTTTATCATGATCTACTTTCTCCATTATTTTTTTTAACTTTCTACTTTAAGCTTTAGACTAATATTCCAGTTAAAAAATTCAACATTATTTATTTGCATTATGTAATTTTGAAATTAGAGATTCATTATTCCGATAAACTGGATGCTAAATTCGCCATTTTCAACAGGTCGTCTGTTTGAGAACGACTAAAACTATGTCATAAGATTGGTCCAATGAAGGAAAGATTTTTTTGGCGAATAAAAACATTATAAAACTTTGAAAGATTTCTTCGCAGATTGTTTGCGAGAAGAACACGAATTGGGTCTCTCTAATCAAATAAGATGAATCTGGAAGTTTCAGGTAAGTTTTAATAAGTGAAAGGAACGAAGCAGCAGATACAGACGAATTATTTTTACAAAGAAATCAACGTGAAAAATTCTTTCAGCCAAACGTGAGCAGCCGACTTTACAATCATTTTCTTTCAAATAGTTTTTGCCTGTGATTTGAACTGCGACATTTGAAACCTAGTCTATTCTCTATTATTTTTATTTTCGGCCGTTTTCTATTATTCCACGAGGTTTATATCTGTTTTTGTATACAGAAATCTATCGCATGCATTACTTGTTAGTTATAAAAACGCAATTATAAAACGCTAATGAGAATATTAACTGTTAAATCTTAAGAAGTCAATTTCTCTTTTCAATTTATTAATCAGTTTTTAATCATTATAATTATTTGTGCATTTACGTTTAATAAATCTAATTAATTGTGATATAAAATGAAATGAAATTAATTGATATAAAAATTATACAAGTTCGTTAATCTTACTCTTTTCAAAGCATTCTGCGAATTGAACGTTCGATCAAAATTAAAAAAAATGTAATAAAAATTTTTTTTTTATTTGGCATGTCACTATCGTTTGATAATTCGTTTCACATTAAGAAATGAGTTTTCTTTTAAATTACATATGTCAGACCACAGGGCACGATAATATATATTACATTTGAAGATGTTCTTCGCTAAATTGTGCCGGCGACGAAAACTGATCGCATTATGCCCCGTCGACATATAGATGTATGTGTGTGTACTAAATATACATATATGTATTTTATATACATGTATTTTAATACACACATATATATATATATAT